GGCGTAGTTTTATTTTGAAAATAGCGTGCCTACCATCCGTCTGAGCGTTGCAGGATGTCAAATTAGTGAACGTACGCTTCGCGGAAGTCTCACGCGAGAGCCCCATGTCGCAAGAGGAACCGCCCCCCATCCGTGTTAACTGGAGCACAATATGGAAAACCGGGTCGTACAGTCGTAAAGGTGGAAGAAAGGTGAAGTGATTGTGGATGGTGGACTTTGCATTTGAATGTGCGCGAGGCCCAGTGGAGACCCCAGCTCGGTGAGGCGTTCGGTATGGAATGTGCCCATGAAACTGCAGGCCCTGGAGGATTCCTTATCCGATGAGGGTGTCGGTGGTACCCCTGGCCGATCCACGACTGGAGTTCCACTGGTTTCCAGACCGTGGTTTATTCATGTAATGGTTCTCTGTCCAATCCTCCGCCACTTTGAAATCACGCCATCCACTCGCGCAGCCAACGGCACTTTGGACACCGGGTATGCACGGCGTCAAGGCGAGAGCCTCTTTTTGAAAACGACCCGCCCTCCACTTGTTTTTTGGGTTGTGTACAACGATTGTGTGCGGCGCCAGCAAAGCGACAACCTCTCTATGGAAACCGTTTATGATACACGCGTGAATGCGATCTTGAGTCTTCTGCTCCGTAAGGCTTCTTGCGGCGACGGGGACGGTAAGCATGAGTATGTGGATGCTGGTGCTGCTAGTGGCGGCGGCGAGCCTGGGAACGCTTGGGGAGGGATTGGCAGCATTTTGGAGCGCCCGCGAGCGTTTTGGAACGTGTGGGAGCGCGTGGGGCAGCGTGTGGGGCGATGGGGTCCAACATTGAAGTCGGCGAAGGGTTCCCCAAACGTGTCGAGTTTCATATATTGAGAGGGTTTGACGGCCGATGCCGCCGACCCGTAAATACATCCACGACCAGTAGGAGGAGAAGGAGGGGGATTTCTCATCCGATGAGGGTGGCGGTGGTATCCATGGCCGATCCGCGATTGGAGTACCACTGGTTTCCAAACCGTGACTTATTCATGTAATGGTTCTTTTTTTCCAATCCTCCGCCACTTTGAAATCACGCCATCCACTCGCGCAGCCAACAGCACTTTAGACACCGAGTATGCACGGCGTCAGGGCGAGAGCCCCTTTTTGAAAACGACCCGCCCTCCACTTGTTTTTTGAGTTGTGTACAACGATTGTGTGCGGCGCCAGCGAAGCGAGAACCTCACTATGGAAACCGTTTATGGTCCACGCGCGAATGCGATCTGAATTCGTCTGCTCCGTAAGGCTTCTTGCGGCGACGAAGACGGTGAACATGAGTATGTGGATGCTGGTGCTGCTGGTGGTGGCGGCGAGCCTGGGAACGCTTGGGGAGGGATTGGTAGCATTTGGGCACGCCCGCGAGCGTTTTGGAACGTGCGGGGGTGCCTGGGGCAGCGTGTGGGGCGATGGGGTCCAAAATTGAACTCGGCGAGTGGTTCACGAAACGTATCGAGGTTCATATATCTGCTATCGATTTGTTTTTTGTTTGCCTTTTGTGCCCAAGGGCTCTTCGGGGCCACGGGGTGGTCGATGTTGAAGTTCACCAGTTGCGCACCGCATGATCCCCTGTACGTCGGACGGTGGGGGTTGGGTCGGATGGATGTGCGCAATTTTTTCACATACGATCGTGAGGTTTGGGTCGGGTGGATGTGCACTTAGACATAGTGATTGCGTTGGATGGTGAAGGTTGGGTCGCGTGGATGTGCGCGGCGTTATGGCGAGAACAGCATTTTGAAAAATGAGTCGGCCTTAATTTTTAACATGGTCGCACGTTTTAGGACCACTGTGCGCAGCGCTGATGCGTGAACTGCATTATGAGAGCGAGCCAACACCAATTTTTAAATCGGCCGTATTCTGAAAACGAAGGCGCGCGGCGCTGAAGCGATAACCACATTTTTTGTATAGAAGTCCTCCTTGTCGCACCTCCTCCTCTACCTCCCTCCCCCTCCTCCTCCCTTCCTTCCGGGCTCCACCCTTGAGGCCGTTGCAAATCCAAGCTTCGGGATTCTGATTGTCGAGGGTGTGTCTTGCGCGAAACGCCTGGCCCGGCCTGCGGCAATGTCGGGCGGCGCGAGAGGGACGAGTTCTTTGCGAGGAGAAAGGGGGGAGGAGGAGGGGGGGGAGGAGGGGGGGAGGGGGAGGAGGAGGGGGAGGAGGAAAAGGAGGCGGAGGAGGAGGGGGAAGAGGAGGGGGGGAGGAGGAGAAGGACCAGGAACAGGAGAGTGATAACCGCTGTAGTAGGTGAGACAGTCCCACAGAGGCGAGGGGCGGCGAGAGCGATGAGCCTTGAGCGGCCAACCTTGTCTTTGCATGCTGCTCTTGTGCATGCCCTGCACGGGGCCGAACAGCCGTCGCGCCGGCTCGCGTGGCGCGCCCGCCTCGCTCTTGTGCACGACGGGGATCACCGACGCGACGCAGCTCGCAAGGCGAGCGACACCGCGTGCCCCGATCAGAACCAGGATGAAAATCATTCCATCCGAGAGTGTTGGTGGTGTGACCTGGGCCGCAAGGGCCGCAGTGGCCGCGGACCGCCGTCGGGCCAGAAGGATGCGCCCGCGGCGCGCGCCCGCGCGCGTGGGAGCCCAAATGGCAACCTGGAACTGGGAGGAGGAGGAGGAGGAGGAGGAGGAGGAGGAGGAGGAGGAGGAGGAGGAGGAGGAGGAGGAGGAGGAGGAGGAGGAGGAGGAGGAGGAGGAGGAGGAGGAGGAGGGGAGAGTGTTGTTGGTGTTTCCTGACATTTTGGTGTGCCTGATGGCCCTCGCGGGGCCTCGTGTCCCGTGTCTGGTGGGCCCTCTAGGGCTCTCTCGGGGCCTCTGTGGCCATCTTGGAGTCCCTCGGGGGTCTTGGGCTCGTTTTGGAGAGTCGTGGGGGCTGCGCTGGAGGTCATCGGGCCGTTTGGAGACTGTCGAAGGCAGTTTTGGACAGCTTGTCGGGTCGTCTTGCAGGCCAGACGGGAGCGTCTTGAGTCATTCGGGGCCACGGTGGGGCCATCTTGTGGACATCTTATGGACATTTTGAGCTGTTTTGGGGCCCTTGGAGGCTTTCCGAACCGTACTGGGCACTCTTGAAGGCTTCTGGAAGCGACAGGGCGATACTAGCCCAAAGACGAAGGATTTCATTTCGTTTTGATTATGATTTGGGTGCCCGAGCTCTCTCTTGGGATTTTTTCTGGTTTTCTAGTCTGTCAGGGCCTCTTGAATCCTTATGGATGCATGCTGGGCGTGTTGAGCCTTTTTGGAGACTTCTTGGAGGGCATCTTGAGCATCTTAGAGATGTCGGAGGGTAGGCTTGGAGGCTCTACCACGGGCCCATGAGGTGCGCCGGGGAGCGCGTGGAGAGACCCCCCCCCCTGCGTACAGGATGTTTGACCGTGTCATCTTGGAGAGCTCCGACCTGGAGCATCCCGCTCTCCTACGAGGGAACGGCAGTGTCGGGTGTTGCAGGCCATTGAAGGCAGCGGCCGTGGCGTGTAGGACAGCGGCGAACTCGTGGCGCCACGTGCACGTGGCGGCGTCCACCACATTTGGTGGGATGCTGTGAAGCCTCGCTCCTGAGGCGGCGAGCTCGTCAGCACGTCGGTTGAACCTTTCAGCACTCGGAGTGAGGCGCCCTTCGTCGATGCCCTGCTCCCCCAAGCGGCTTCCCAGTTTGGATCCGACCAGACGGGGTTCCTCCCCCTCCTCCTCGTCCTCCTCCTCGTCCTCCTCCACCTCCTCCTCTACCTCGTCCTCCTCCTCTACCTCGTCCTCCTCCTCCTCCTCCTCCATCCACGCGAGCATCTCCGCCACCGGTCGGCCTGTGCCCCCCCCCCCTTCTGGTGACTTGTTCTTCTCTTCCTCGAGCGCTGGCCCGCGGGCCCGCTGCCGCCCGCTCTCCGCGGGCGCAGGGCGGCCCGTGGGCGCGTCCCGAGGGGTCGAGCCGGCGTTCGGCCCCGCAGCGAACGGCAAGCAGTGGCGAAGCGTCCCGGCTCGCCTATAGCCCCACCAAACAATGTTCTAAGAACCTTTTTCGGGTCGGGCAAAGGGGGGGATTGGGAAAGGGGGGGTTACGAAATTTGCTGCATGCAGCTGGTTTCGGCCTCACCGAGGGGCCAATTCCTCGATACATGGCCGCTCCCGGCGCCGGGAAAAAGAATCAGCTGCGTGAGCTGATTCTCAAACCCCCCCTTTGCTATCCCCCCCTTTCGCCCGGCCCGACTTTTGTGGTTCCCACGAAATGTTCTTAGAACCTTTCTGGCTGGGACCGTCTTGTTTGGAGCACATCGGGCTGATGTTCTAAGAACCTGGTTTTTGTTCTTAGAACATTTTGGGGTTCTAAGAACACTTCGTGGTAGGACTACAGGAATGCTGGGACGGTCGGTCCCTGCTCAAGAAGAGGGTTCGGGCCGAGCGAAAGGGGGGGATAGGGAAAGGGGGGGGTTGCGAACTCTGCTGCACGCAGCTGGTTTCGGCCCCTCCCCCTCGGCCCCGTGCCTCGGCACGCGGGCGCCTCCCGGCGCCGGGAGGCGCTGGGAAGCTCGGCCACGTGAGCCGATTCTCTGCCCTTACAAGGTCCGGCTCGAATAAGGAACACTTCCTTCTCAAAAGGGGCTCGGTCGTTCCTTTGGCTTGCGTGCGTTCCGCCACCTTTTTGGCGGCGGGCCCCCCCGGTGCTCCTTCGGACTTCGTAGACTTACGTGGACCAAAAAGGGGCTTCGTTCCTTATTTGTCGTTCCTTAGGTCAGGCCGAATATCGGGCCGGACGAAAGGGGGGGATTGGGAAAGGGGGGGTTACGAAATCTGCTGCATGCAGCTGGTTTCGGCCCCACCGAGGGGCCCATTCCTCGATACATAGCCGCCTCCGGTGCCGGGAGGCGCCGGGAAAATCAGCTACGTGAGCTGATTCTCAACCCCCCCCTTTGTTATCCCCCCTTTTCGCCCGGCCCGAGAATACTGTACCCTCTGCCATCCCCCCCTTCCGCCCAGCCCGACGGGAG